TTATACAAATCTAAATTTTTATAAGTAAATTACAAAAGGGTTACTAATAAAAATTAGTATTCTTTATATAAACTAAAATATTATATTAAGAACTATAGGCTTAAAATTAATATTTAAAGAGTTTATTAAAAATTTGTAAATAATTTTTTTGATTAAAAATTTTTTCTAAATTTGTTTATTTTTAGCTTATAAGTAACATATAATTTTTTTTTATAATATAAAATTAAATACTACTATAATATAATTTTTATTTTCAAATATTAAATAAAATTTTATTTAAATATTTTAAAATTTAAAAAATATAGATTATAAGCATATTTTTAATAATTTTTTAGACAAATTTGTCTTAAAAAGCTTATAAATTAAGAGATAAATTAATATTTTTAAATTTTAACTCAAAATATACAAAATTTTCTTATTAAATAGCTTTAAACACTATCTTTTTTTTTATTTATTATAATAAATAATAATTCATATTATACAAATCAATTATAATTATTATTGTATTGAAATACTTATAAATATTATATAAGTATAAAATATAATTTGTAGTCTTATCTAATATCTTCTTAAATATTTATATTAATATTACAACTACAATCAGAAACCTTAACTTTATTACTAATTCCAAATCTATACAAACCAAAAATTGGATACTATTCATTATATTAACTATCTTAAACATCTTAAAAACATTATTACTACTTTTCACAAAATCAAATCACACTCTACAGACTCTTTTTACAACCAAGCAAATTCACTTACCAAACAAGGAACTACAAAACTTATTCTCAAAATTAACAACTCAAAATTTAATACTGCAAACTATTTTATATAGAATAACTATCTAATCTCTTTTAAATTTTATAACTTCATCAAAAACTCTATAACTATTTATGAAATTACTAAATAGTCAAACTTAAAATTTTTCTATAACATCACAAATATCAAATGATCATTAAAATTTAAAATCATCTCTTTATTTGAAAATAATTCACAAAAATACTCTTTTTATATTAAAATTCTTATTAATAACTTATTAACTATGCAAAATCTTAATATCTGTTACCTATATCTCTATACTACTTCAAATTGCTTTTGCTATACAAATACTGAAGATACTTTTCATTTATTTTTTTGTCATAATAATACTATGAACTTTCTATAATTACTTAAAAATACAATACAAGATACTCTAATATCACTAAAAATTACTAACATAACTTCAACAACTTTACTAAATATTCTTTTAGATTTTACATTCACATACCAAATTCTCAATTTAAACATATATTATATATCATTACTGGAACCTTTATTTCCAGTGTTTGCATTTGGACTATGTTCAATGCAATTTTTAATTAGATATGGACAAATATAGATATGGACTAGTCCAAATCGTGTCCATGTCCAAATAAAAAAAGTATATAAAATGTGATTGATCATGTGACTATAAACCAATCATATTCCAGAATCTATTAACATTTCGATACTTAATTACTTAAAACTTTAGCATCCAAAGTTGGATATCTGAAATTTTGCTTTTTAAACTTTGTCTCTAACTATTTGTTCTCTTAACTTATTGCAATTAACTATTTGACTGCCAATTGTTGCAGCAGTATTAAGTGAAATAATATCGATATATAATAAAACAGTATTTATTATAGCATAAATCATTGATCAAAGATATGCAATTCGACCTTCTATATTTTATAACAATTTAGAGGTAAATTGACATCTGATTTTTGGTTGATAGTTAAAGCTATAATCAATAGTTAGAAAAATTATAATTGAAAATTTTTTTGTGCAAAGTATACAGGTTTGCAAAAATTTTCACAAGTATAAAATATTGATTTATATATTTTTTTTATTATATAATTATATACAACTATTATAGTACTATTATTTCATAATTACTATGTTAATATCAAAAAACTAGAGTGACATTAAAAAACCAGGATACTAAAAAACTTGAATGATATTAAAAAACCAGAACACCAAGAAATTAAAACAGTACTAAGAAACTAAAACAATACCAAGAAACTAGTACAATACCAAGAAACTAGAGCAGTACCAAAAAACTAGAATAATATAAAGAACTAGAGACATCAAGAAAACACATAAAAAGAAAAAGTAAACAGATTTGTAAAAGAAAAATTAAATAAAAAAAAGCTAAAAAAAATATATATATATATATATCAGTATATACTTATGTAAGTCTGCTAAAAAAAATAAAAAAAAATAAAAAAGAAGATTAAAAAAAAACAAAAAAGAAAAGATCACATTATTATATATTCTAAACCATAAATGTTAACAATAAATTTTAACAATATGTTTGTATAAACTCTGCATATTATTATTACATATTGTTAAATCCAGGAGCTTTAATTTGAACACAATTCTGCAAACCCACTGTGCTGATATGATTTTTCCAGTAATCAATCTAAAATCGGATATCAATTCCCCTCTGAATTGCTATATAAATATTCAAGACCAAATAGTGAGTAGAGTTTGGAACTGAATTCGACCTTCGAATTTAAATCTGATTTCCTTCGTATCTGATTTAAATTCGTATATAAAACCAATATTCTGAATCTGCAATATTCACATTATCTGCACAAACTCATAAAAAACAAAAGTATTCTATCATTGTTTTTAAGTAATTGGATGTTTTTGTCACCAAATGTATATATATATGTATATATGTACATAGAATGATGCTAGGTACAACTTAGGCACAACTGAATATTATCGAATAAATTCAGATTAAAATCCGATGTATATTTTTATTAATTAAATTTAATATGAATCGAAAGGTGAAATCCAGTTTCAAACTCTAATAGTGGGTGGAAATTGGGACAATTTTTTTTTACATAGATGATTTTAGTTTTTTTTTAAGTTGATATTTACTAACATTCGACTAAGTCAATTGTTATATGTTCAACCAGTGAATATTCAACATATAGTTTAATAGATAGAAGATAGTAAATGTATTATTTTTTGGTTATTAAATTTTTATGCATTTTTTATTTAATTTGTATACTAAAATAATAAGTGATCTTTTCTATTACAATCGAGCAGCACACCTTTGACACAAAAAAAATTAATAATCATAGCTAGAGATAGGCTTGATCAGCTTAGCATTTTATAGCTGACCGAACTCATCCCTAATCACAGCTTCAAGTATTTTTTTTATGATAAATCTTTTCATTTGATAAGCACATTGTTGGAGATGCTTGAGAATAATCTAAATTAATCTATTAGTTAAATCTGTGCTTTTACAATATTTTTCTATTGTACTTCCAATTTTATAGTTACCCTGAGAATATTACGAATAGATGAGGTAATGAAGAATATAAATCGTAGTTAAAAATTGTGAACTGCATTACTAATATATAAAAAAAGACTAATTCAAGTTTAATTTTATGGTAAAACCTTATTAAAGAACAGCAAGATGTCTTTGATTATTAAGAAATAGAACTAAAGAATGCCAGCAGTCATAATCGTATATAAAAATAAGGAGCATGAAAGACTTACTATTAGCCATAAATTCCCTCTAACTTATATAGTAAGGTTTTAGAATTTAATTATTAAAATCATTGATAGACAATATAAACAGGTATGAAATACTTACTATTAGCTATAAAATTCTCTTTAACTTATGCAGTAAGGTTTTATAATCAGATTGTTAAATAAATAACAATGAAATGTAAACAGATATGAATAAACCTTACAATTATTAAGAGATAGAATGAAATAATGTTATAGTCATGTATAAAGTAAGAAGTATAAAATACTTAATATTAGTCATAAAATTCTTTTTAACTTATTTAGTAAGGTTTTAGAATTTAATTATTAAAATTATTGATAATACAGCATAAACAGGTATAAAATACTTACAAGTCATAATCAAAGGTTTCAGGTCTTATTGTTAAATAATTTATGGCGCAATATAAATGATATGAATATTTATCGTTAATCATAAAATTGGAATAATATAACAAGTCATAATCGAAAGTTTCAGAATTTAATTGTTAAAATAATTAATAGTGCAACTTAAACAGTTTTAAAGTACTAAATGTTCTATTTTACTTTCTAATCTTATTTTTTTGGTTAATTTCGATCATACAATTTTATTACATATGAAAAAAGAGATTAGTAATTAAAAAGATACAAATCAAATAAATTGCACAAAGAATTTACAAAAAAAAAAAATTTGAGATTACATACAATTGAATTAAAAAAAAATATAGGAAAACAACCTCACCATCTGACTGACTTCATAATCGTATTTGATAAAAAAGCAAACGAAAGTAATAAATTTTGTAATTGTAAATGTTGTGTATCGGGCTCTTCATATAATGATGCAATGAAAATAAGTTTGCAAATACACAAGAGCTTGTTTGCCACTATTTAAAAAATTGTATTTATTTTAAGCAAGCTTATAGTGAATCTGAGCAAGCAGAAATTCTGGAAAAGTCTGATAAATTAAATAGAGAAGGTTAAGTAATTATTAATTATATTCATAATTTAAAATTACTTTTATTAATTGATATATTTAATTTAGATTTTTAAAAGAGTTCTGATAATAATACTATTCCAGATATTTCTTCATCATCATTAGAGAATTCTACATTTACATCAAATCAACAGTTTTCAAATAAAAAACATACAATTGATTGATATTGTTTACGACCTTTAAGTAAAGATCAACAAAAACAATTTGAGCAGCTTTTGCTTCAGGTGACTGTCTCATGCAGTTGGGCTTTCTCTTGGATAGATAACCCTGAAGTAAAAGCATTTTTTAAATTTCTTCATCTCTTAGTTAAACTACCTTCACAAAAAGATCTTAGTGGTCGAATTCTGGAAGAATCAGCACAAAAAATAAATATTCTATTTAAGAAGCAGCTCAAAAAGATACAAATGGTGTTATATTAGCATATGACAGTTGGAAAAACATAAAAAAAGAATCAATTTTTGGAAGCATTTTAATTACTTCAATGGGTAAGGTCCTTATTTTGAATGCGGAAGATATATCAGATGAATGTACAAGGTGGTTTGATGTGCAATGTAAGACAGAAGATATGCTTAATAATTTAAATAAAGAAGGGATTAAAGTTAATGCTGTTGTCACAGATTGCACATCTCAATATGAAGCAGCAAGGTAATATTATATACAAGTAAACTAATTCAATACAGTGAAGCCTCTATAAGTACATCCTCTATAAGTGCACACCCTTTTCAAATGCACACTTAAATTTGGGCCCAAATCTATACATGACCTTCATAAATGCACCTTTTCTTATTGTTTTCTAAGTGCATGTTATTAAAGTTCAGTCCCAAAAGCATGCACTTATGAAGGTTTTACTGTATATTATTACTATTTGTACACTATATTAAAATTTTTTTAAAATCTTTAGAAAACATTTATAATGAATACATCCTGAAATCATATTTAATCCTTGCTTCACTCATCAGATGAATCTGTATGTTGGAGATATTTTCAGAAATTCAAACAAATTTTCAACTGTTGCGAAGCAAGCTATCCATCTTGTATCTTTTTTTAACTAGTCAACTTTTTTTTTAGGTCATCTTCATTCAGAACAACTAGCTTTATATAAATCTTATGTTTCTTTTGTGTTGCCAAATTGTACACGATGGAATAGTCATTATTTGTGTTTTGCCAGTATTTTTAGAACACATGCTGCTCTTAAAAATTTAGCAACAAAGATAGAAGAAGGCAATGATTAAGATCTTAATAACATTCCTAAATTCTTCTTACTTATATTTCAAACATGAATGGTAGAATAACCTTATACAATTAAAAACTCTTCTCGAACTATATATGGCATTATTGAACAAGCTTCAGTAAGATAAGAGTCACCTTTTGATGTTTTGCATAGTTTTAGCTAGGTATGTCAAGTGATTAAAAATCTTTCTGATAGCACTTTTAGAGATTATTTAATCACAAAATTAGAAAAGTGATGGTTAACCTAGAAACAACTATTGCTACTTTCGTTATTTTTATTATATCTATTTTATTACACTACTCAATTTAATCAAAATATTAATAATTTTTCTTTTGCACATATGAGACATTGGATTATTTACTATTATAAAAATTGGTTCAATAAATCTCTGAATTCAATTCTATCTGAATTGCAATATTATGAAAGCCAAGAATACCTTTTTAATCAAGAAACTTTTAACCAATTTGGTAGTGATGTGCTAAAATATTGGAATTTTTGCAAAGGAATTGCTCCAGAATTACATCTTGTAGCAGTTCGAATTTTTTCAGTTTGCATAACAACAACATCAGTAGAATGATTATTCTCTACTATAGGGTGGTACCATTCTTCATGATGCAATCGGCTTAAGGTAAATTTGTTTGATATATGAGGTTTTTGTCTTGAAAATGACCTTATGGTACATGATGCTATAAGGTCATTTTCAAGGCAAAGACCCCATATATACATATATCTGATTAACTATTTTATATTTATTACATTTATTTATACTATCGTATAATTTAACATAATAGCATAAAAAAGTTCTTGCTATGAGCCAACTAAGATCAGAACTTATCTGTTTATAAAACATTGCAGCTATTGACAAATCATTAAAGATATATAAACAAAACATTGCAATTCCAGTTGAAGAAAATGATGAACAAACGAGTTTAGATGAAGACACAGAAGAAGAGCAATTAATTAGTCTATCAGAAAATGATATGGATTTAGAAAATCCTGGAAAGCAAATTCAGATGAATGTTAGTCATTTCAATATAGTTAAAAGTGTAAATAACTGGAATGCAATTGTAAATTAATGGGTTAGTCTAAATGAAGAGGAGAAAGTTGAAGATGACTTAAATGAATCAGAAAGTCTGTCTAAATTATATTTTAATGAAGTAGAATTTCATCCTGTAGATGACTTTACAGCCAAGTAGAAGCTAGCAGATCTTTTTGTAGATTTACTAATACGATCTGCTCATATTAATTTACTTTTGGGTGACTAAAGCATAAATTAAATTAGGTCATATAATAATAAATTAACAGTATTAGAAATTAACATTACACAGAACTTTCAATTTAAAATATATATTTTTTTTGTATTTGTTTGTTTATGCTTCATAACAAGTTTAATTACTATTTAAAACATATGCATAAACAAGTTTTAATATTTTTTACATATTTGTGAATAAAGAATGGCAATTCCTTCTGATACTTTATTTAGCTGTTCAAGATAAATTATTACTTGTATAATTGTTATGCAGGTAATCTTAACTTATCCAAAGCTATACTAGTTTAATACAGAATCAATAAATTTTTCTATCAAAAGTTACTATGAACGTACATACGTATATTGTGAAAGAGAAAATTTGTCCAAGGTCGACAACAAGATGGCTTGGGTCGATCGACCTAAACATTGACCAAATCTGCCAGATATGGCAGAAATGGTAGAAAACAGTAATACATCTGCCAGAAATAACAGATATGGTAGATTCGCTAAATGAAATATGCCAAATAAGGCATATATAGTATATAGGGTGAAAAAGTGCAAAGTAAAAATTAGTAAATGAAAATGTATTTAAACACTACAAAAATCACCATGAATAAAGTGACTCCATTGAGGTCTAAAGCTTCCCTTGAGTTCTTAACTAGTGTCCTGTAGTACTAAAAGTTACTTTCGTATTTCATTTCATTATATTCTTCTTGTTCTTGTGACTTGTTTTAGACCCATAATCATTATATTATTCAAAGTAAAAGAGAAAGATCGAATTAGTAACTGACCCCTTTTTATATAAAACAATTACATAATTATATTAGTGATCAATCCATTGTTAAATCATACATACATAATTCAATTTTGATTGTAACTATGTAATCATATTTTAGATCCACTGATGCTGAAATAAATCACATAATCTAGTGACCCTTAGAACAAGCAGTATACCTAAAAATTAAAAAAATACAGTAAAGTTGTTAGTATTGAACCAAGTTACTAAACACAAGAACTACTTGCTTAAAGTAAAGAGACACTTATCCAAGCCTGATAATAACCTACAAGACCCAAAAGCCTCAAAACTCGGACCAAGTCTAACTACACCTCGATTGAAGCCTACCAATTTTGGAATTTTAGGTCTTGTTGGAAGTTGTTTTGATAGTATCGAGTTGCCTATTACTCTATTTAGTGATATTAGGGTCAAAATAGACTTTCACAATGTACATATTATATATGCAATTTTGAGTTTCAAGTCACATTAATTTACATTAAAAAAAATAAGGTAAGTGATAGAATGAGTAAAATTAGAGTAATATATCAAGTAATTGAAGAAAAATAATATATTGAAATATATGAGAAGTAATGAATTGAACTCATCACTAACCCAAAATTTCATGTACATATATATGCTATTGTAAAATGCTTAGGCTCTTTTAAAAAATAAATTCTTAAATAAGTGATCATAAGCTCACCTTTCAACCCTGTATAAATGTCTAGGACTTTAAATAGTGCTTTGATACCTGTTTGTATTTATATTGTTTATTGAGATTCATATTTAGTTTATAACAAGTATATATATACATACACATATATATATTATAGCCACACACCTGATTAATATACTTCTAATAAAACTATATAGTCTTCTTAATAAAACCTATAATAATAAATATATCTAAATATTAGTACTGTAAATGTCTAGATAAATAGTATAACCAGAAATAATTCCATGATTTTTTAAAAAATCTTTACTATTATTATTGTAAATGCGAAGTACTTATGTACATATATATATATAGTAAAACCTTTATAAGTGCATGCCCTTGGGACCGAACTTTAATGATGTGCACTTAGAGAACAATAAGAACAGATGTATTTATAGAGGTCATGTATAGATTTGGACCCGAATTTAAGCATGCATTTAGAGAGGGTATGCACTTATAAAAGATGCACTTATAGAGGTTTCACTTTACTTGGTTAAAATTATTTTAGCCAATTAAAATTTTCATATAGGGTTACACTAGTCATATGTTTAATTTGGACTAAGTGCCTATATCTAATAAAAAAATATAGATTATATGGACATAGTCCATAAATATCCATATCCAATGGACCATATTGTTCATGTTCATTTTGGCAAACACTGTTTATTTCTATTACTTATAAAAATATCAAAACACTTATTAATAAACAAACTGATGAGGGGTGTGACGACTTAGTGAAGTGGATAGGTTGTCAACCCTCAAGTGGCAGGTCTAAGGTTCAATTACCACAGATGACAAATTTTGGAAATTATACCTGTGTTATAGTAACTGTCTCTTGCTGATCGGTTGGGTTTTGGGCATTTGTAATCTTAGGTATACCAAGTCAGGCCCCACCTGACATTGGGAGCTCAGGGCATCTATGCAAAGTGTAACGTTACATTGTACATGTACATAGGGGAATATAAAACCTGTGTCATATAAGGCTTCGGGCAAACCCACGATAAGACCAACATCATAGAAGGCTAAGAAATCGAAGAGATGGAAACTCACTTGGAAATTTTGAGTAAAGAGGTAGCACAAACTTTCGATGCTGCCATTGGACTGACGGAAGCCCATGAAACACCTTTATAGAAACTGTCGGATAAACCAGATAACAAAGATGTATAGAGGAGCATATGACCAACCAGGCCGCCAGAATTGCCTAAGGAAAAGGATACATAAGTATACCATACCAGGCTATCTGAATTGGGAGTCTAAGGAAGTCTGTTGTTGGTTCCGAGTTGCAGCTAGTAGGGGATGATGAAGAAAAAGTCAGAAAGATGGGTACCAGGGTTTGGGTAAATTTTACAAGGTTAATAGCGGTTTAAGAGGTAACTCTGATTGCAAGTGTTGGCCCCGGTCATAGCATCAAACAAGGTTAGTGGTAAAAGGAAATATGGTTCGCTCTGGTAGATTTACCTCAAGAATAAAAATAGTCTAAGGATTATAGTCTTATAGTCGAATGCGAATAGATCCAGGTCTGTAATCTGGTAAAATTAATACTAGGGTTAGATCAGAGGGTTTAAATAGAACA